TTTCAGACAGGGTCTCACATTTTTGCTCTGGGGTTGGCCTGGAGCATGATCCTCCTACCTATACCTCACATGTAGCTGGGATCACAGGTGTGTGCCATAACTGCCTGCATTATTTGTTGCCTGGGCTGGCCTTGAACTGCCATCTTCCCAATCTTCTGAGTAGCTGTTCATATAGACATGAGCCACTTTGCCCAGGTCTGTATGAAGTCCTTTGGTAGCATGTTTATTGACAATTCTCAGTGCCTTTTGAACTATATATAGTCATAATTGAAAATAATTAATGTGTTTCCTACTTAAAGTCTTGCCCAGTAGACCATACATTTCACAGAACAGACATCAAACTCCATGAGAACAACATATATTGTGCATAAATAAATTAGGAAAAGCCCCTTTATGCTAACAGTGACTTTTTGTTGTGTGAGCAAATTGAGTGTGAAAGTGTGGGACACACTGTGGGTGTGGTGGGACATGGCAGGGGTGAGGCTGAGCGTGTGGTAGACCACAGTGGACTGATCTGGGGAAAGTGATGCTCTGGTTTAGATATAGTTTGCCCCCCAAAGGTTCACACACCAGAAGCCTGTAACCCACTGTGGCAATATTGAGACACGCTGGAATGTTTAAGAGGTGGAGCCTGGTGGGAGGGACCCTGGTCACCTGGGTATCATCTACAGTAGGGATTAGTGATTAATGAAGAATAAGTTAGTTCTCAAGAGATTGGCCCATTCTGCACTTGGAATGGTTTCCATTCCATTTCTTTGCCATGTGTGACACAGCCAGGTGGGTCCTTACAAGAGACCAAACAGATGGGACCACCAATCTTGCACTTTCAGCCTCCAAAATTGTGACCTAAATCAGCCTCTTTGCTTTATATATTATCCAACTTCAAGTATTTTGCTAAACCAACAGAAAAGTGACTAATACAAGAGTAACAAACCTCTGGAACTCAGTGTTTTCATCTGAAAAAATGGGTATATTACAATGCCTACTTTAGAGTGGGTTGCCACAGTGATTGTGTCAGATAACCATATTGTAAGAGCTCATGTATATAGCCCATGTTGTTCTTAGTGTTGTTACTGTCCCGATTTTTTTCTCTTTGGTCAAGATTTTGGCACCCTTTGCTCTGTCTCTGTGTAGTTGTTTGGCCATTAGGTTTTCTTCTGGTGGCTGTTTTAGTTTCTCTGTGAGGTGTTTATTTGTTTAAATTAATTCCTCCAAAGCTAGGTTGTCCTTTCATCGTGACCGTGCATGGGAGAAAGAAAGCAAGAAGGTGCATGCACGCATATATGTGTCTGTGTGTATATGTGTGTATATGTGTGTGTATGTTTGTGTCTGTGTGTGCATATGTACATGCATGTGTGTGTGTGTGTGTGTGTGTGTGTGTGTGTATGTGTGTCTGTGTTCAGTGGGGGCTGGGAATGGCTGTGAGGATGCAGAGAGATGGAATGAGCCTGGCTGTGCTGAATACATATAATCAATAGGTACAATCAATGTGTTCATAAAAGTCCCAGGCCCTGCTGGGTGAGTGGTTTTCCATGGTGACAAGAAATGCATCTACTGCATTCCTCCTCTTTTTGGGGTCTGGATGTTCTCCGTTGGCCCCCTCAAAGCAGAACAGGCTGGGAGTGGAAAGTCCATGTCTCCCCCTGACTGCTTCACCTTCCATCCAAAGGGGACTAGGGGTTAAAGGTTCCCACATGAACCTGGCAGCTTCTTTGCTTTTAAGAAGGGAAGGAAATACGCACACACTGAACTTTGAGGATTAATTGATTCAGTTGGTATTGATTGTGAACCTATCATGCACCAGGTACTTTTGTAGGCACTGTAGGTTGTATAGCAAGAGACAGACCTGGAATCAGTACCTGCCTTTGTGCCACTGAGCCTCTGGTTGAGGTGGACATTAACCTCAAGGTAATGAAGTTGTGGGAGGTCAGCGGAGCCTTTTCTGAGGACATGGTGTAAAGCCTGGCCTGAGGGGAGAGAGGATGCTAGTGGGAAGGCAGGCAAGGAGGAGTGTATTCATGCTACAGGGAGCCCATAGGAAAGGCTGTGGAGGGGCATGGGCAAAGGATCAGAGCAGCAGGGTAGGAGTGTGTGTGTGTGGGGTGACAGCAGGGCCTTGGAGACCCATGAGTTTAGCAGGAGGCACAGTTTGTCAAGGCAAGGTGCTGGTCTTCATCTTGAGGGCACAGGAAGAGCAGTAAGTAGAGAGAAGGGGTCAAATTTACAAACAGAGAGACCCACTTTGGCTCCTGTGTGGAGAATGAGTTCCATGCTGTGAGCTGAGAGCTGGAGACCCTGGTCAGGAACTCTGTGGAGTGTGAGTGAGAGGTGGGAAGGGGAATCAGGATGGAGGAGTACAGCGGTGAGGGAAGGTGGAGGGAACTGGAAATAGGCCAGAGGTAGACTTGGCAGGTGGATGAGTCATTGAAGGGGGAGCTGAGAAGGTCAGAATGACACTGGAATTTGGGGGTGAGATGGCTGTTTTCCAGAGTTGGGGGAGACATAGGAAGGGGAACAGGCTTGATTGGGGATGCAGCTCACATATCCCATTTTGGACACATTGAATTCATAGGACCAGACATAGCCAAATGGAGATACCATGTCACAGGTAGACATGACTTTGCAGCTGAAAATAAATCCAGGTTGATGACAAGGTAAGAATTATGGGTACCTCTTTTATCAGATGGAGCAGAATGGGTGGTTCTTATCCAGCCCAATAGAGCATCATGAAAGGCTGCTACATCTAGAACTTTCCAGTGCTAGGCCATCTTTCTCTCTTTCTGTGACCTTCACAATTTATTTTGCCTTTCTATGCTCTTCTCTTTTAGGCATAAAATGGTGAGAGTTACGTCTGCTTCAGTCTAGCCAGAAGCACATGTTTGAGGATCCATTAAATTGGAAATAAAACATGGGGAGCTCTTTGGAAATAAGAACTATGTTAAAACAAGGAGTTATTATAGTTGTGCATAAGCCAATGAAAAGCAGAAATACAGCCCCAAGGCTCAGTACTGATCTCGGTCCTGGGTGCTTCCCACAGCCGAATAAACCTGACATTCCTTCCTACAAGTGCTGGCTGAGCAGATGGCACACATCCAGTTTCCAGTATCCTTACTCTACTCCAAGGTTACATCCTTTCTCCGCTCAGGCCATCTCTAGCACCCCCACCCCGTGTGCTGTGCTCTGGGTGCCCTACCCTCTTGTGATGATCATGGGGAAGATTCCAGTTGTGAGGTTGGAATGTAGCCAAGAGCAGATGCCCTCTGATTAAACTGGGGGCAGGTCTTCCCAGAAAAGCAGAGGTTGGTTCTGCAGAATGGGAAATTTAAAGGGGACCAAAAAGAAATGCTCTAGGCAGTTAGGGTTTTCAAACTTTAGGATGGATTAAGGGTTATGGAATTTTCTTCACCCACCTAGTCATCATGCAATCACTGGATAAATATTGAGTGCTCACTGAATGTCAGACTCTGAGATAGGCCTGGGGATACAGGAGTGGTACAGATGATATGACCTGTGGGCGTCCCCATCAGATTTCAGGCACGAAGCTGGATATAGAGTAGGAAGTCCTCTGACACCTGTGGGCTGGGATTGCACCTGGAGGCTCTCAGCACGAGGTGAGAAGGGAGTACTTAGGCAGGCTCCCTGAGAAGCATGGGTATAGATGCAGGAGTAACCAGTTAGGGCAGGAAAGCTGGGGAGGGGGGCTGCTGGTGCCATAGAAACTGTTCAGGGCCAAGTCATGGGGGCTCAGGGGTGGCTGGGAGGAGATTGCTGATGTGACACGTCATTTCAGTTAGCCAGGCTGACAGGCAGAGTAGAGTGGGTTGAGGAATGAATTGGAGATGAGGAGGCAAAGCTGACACCTGGGGATGACTCTTTGGAGAAGTTTCGCTGTCAGACTGGGCAGAGATATGGAGAAGTGCTGCTTGCCTGGATTTCTATGAGCATAATAAATAGTCTCTCCATCATTGGTAATCCCCTCTCCCCCTCCGATACATCCAGGACCTGACACTGAACACCGAAACATTCCCATGATAGAATAAACCCTGGCATGGTGCCCAACAAGGTAGCTGTGACATGACTCCTTTCTTTTCCTCTTAAGAAAGATTATCAAATGCCCATCAGTCAGAGTAATGCTGGGACACCTTTGACTGGGCTGATGTTTTTAAGAAAAATCATAATCTAACTTAAATTACACACCCGAAACTATTCCACTGCCAAATGTTTGCAACACAACTCAGAACTGACCACATCACACGTTACTGTTGGCATGTTGGTTGAGAAATGTGATTCAGACTTAGTTGGGGTACATTCATTCACTCATTCAGCAGAGATTATTTGAGGGCTTGCTGTGTGTCAGGAATTTATACCCTTGACACTGGGGAGAAGCCTTGAGCAAGATGAACAGCCTTTCCCATCACAGATCCTTCACCCATGGAAAGGACACACATGCATGATATAAGTGACTTCCAGTGCAGTGAGCTTGCATCCAGGTAAGCATTGTGTTCTCAAAGAAAGGGTTGCCTGGGGTGGGGCTTCTGGCATAGTCCAGAGTCAGCAGGAGTCTTTCTGAGTAAGATTGTGAGTGCACTGGTGAGGCTCCAGTTGGGGTGGACATTGCCACAGGCGAATGTGAGCCCAGTGAGGGAGGGAGCCCATGTCCACTGGGGTCTGTACCCAAGTTGGGGGCCTTAGGCCAGGAATCCCCATTTTTAAGAAGCTCTCTCCAATCTCTATTAAGGTGATTCTTCGCCAGGTAGTCCAACGACTTTCGTTTTGAGAGTGCCTCAACGCTGGCGGCTTCTTGGTTTTATGCCCACAGTTCCTCAGCTCGAAACCAGGGTCAGCCCTGCACTGAACTGTGATCCGATGTCGCGGCTGTCCCGCGCGGGCCGCACAGCAGCGCGCGGCCGCCAGGGGGAGACAGAAGCCTCGGCTGTGCGCACGGGCTCCTCCGCCCGCGGACGCCGTGCCCGAGCCGGGGAGCGAGCGCAGCCAGAGCGCTGCGGGCTCACAAAGCAGCCGGACGCGCGGTGGCGGCGGCGGTGGGTGGCAGGTGCGCAGGGGAACCAGCCGGCCTCCAGCCTTCTCGGCGACAGCGCCACAAGGAACTCAAGCAACTCGGACGTGGGGACCCAGGCTGGCCCCCAAGGTACGAGCCCTGCTGAACCCTGCGCCCCAACTTGGCATAGTTGGAACCTCCGCGCGGCCACCTGGGGGGTTGGCAGGGTCAGGGCGTGGGGGTATCTCTCCGCGCGCCCCTCTTACAGCCAAAGCAGCGGGGCAGACAAGGGGAGACCTTTGCTTTAGCTAGGAATAGGAGGCCCGGGATTGCGGGGGGGGGAGGCGCCCCCCTATTTTGCCAGAGCCTGGGCTGCTGCTTGGAGCCTAGTTCTCCCCCTGCCTGCCCCAAAGCTGTGGGCACCTTCTGTGCAAGAGCTGCTTGGGGATCCAGAGCTGCCGGTTTTGGGGAGGGGAACTGACAGCCTCTGCTTGTGGGGCACCCGGGGAACAGCTGAGAGGGGTCCGCTATAGTTTGACAGCAGCCCTGAATTTGTGGTCTAGCCTCGGCATCTGTAGCGGAGTCTCCATAAACCAGGGGTCTCTAGGTCCCCAGATCTTCGTGGAGCGCCCAGGTGTGTAAGGGGCGACCCCGTCCCCTCTGTGATCCGACCCCCCCATCCCTATAAACGGGGTCTGGGCCCCGAGGCGCCCAGACGCCTGGTGCCAGGCGACTGGCTGGCGAGGGGCCGGAGGTCGCCCTGCGCTCCCGGCTCACGGCCCGTGCGCCCCTGCCCCGCAGATGCAGGCGATCGCGGTGCTGGCGGCGGCCGCCGTGGCGTGGTGCTTCCTCCAAGTCGAGAGCCGGCACCTGGACGCGCTCGCCCGCGGCGCGGGCCTGAACAAGGGCAATTTCCTAGACAATGACCAGTGGCTCAGCACCGTCTCCCAGTATGACCGCGACAAGTACTGGAACCGCTTCCGAGACGTGAGTACCGCTGGCGCGGCCCTGCGGGGCAGAGGGATGTGGGATCTTGGAGAGGGGCACCTGTAAGTGGGTGGGGAGGCGGCCAGGTGCAGACCTCCCTCGGAAGCCATGTTTCTGGTCTGAGAGGAACTTTAAAGAGAACTTCCAAGGCTTGATGCTCTTGCCTGTTACCTGTGGTCCAGGTGTGTGTATTTGCAGGACTGGGACAGGTAATCGCACTGAAATATTGCGGAACTGTGAGCAGCGATGGGGAAAAGAGGCTAGCTAAGCTTCTGAGCGCTCCTGTTGGCGAGATGATTGGCTTTGCCAAACCCTGGAGAGAAGCTCCCTGGGGCAGCAGTGACTGGGACCATCCCTAGGGTGTGTCAGAAAAATCCCTACTGAAGAGGTTAGTTTTGGGGGTGAGCCCAGCTCATTTATTAGGGAGTCAGGTGTGGCAGTCATGAGAGGAGGTCTAGGGGGACACCATATCAATGGGCCTGATAAAATGTTGGGGAAGAAGGTGGTCATTTCCACCCTTAGAGTCTTTAGGGTAAGGGGAAAGGTAGCAGGTGTCCATGCACTTGGTCCCTGCTATGAAAAGAGCCTGGGAGGGGAGAAACTTAATCCTGGACAACCAGAAGCACCTGCGCTGCCTGCTTCTGCCCCTAGAACTGGCTGCCACTCCCCAGGTGTGCCCCCAGAAGATGTGGGGGCAAGAAGCACTTGGCATACTCATTCCAGCAGATGGCACCCCTCTGTGCAGTGGAAGCTGCTGCCAGCTCCTTCAAAGACTGTGCCTGATGACTGGGGCCATGCCCTTCCAGGGGACTTGGAAGTGTTAATTTTATGGCACTTAACATTAGGAATTCCTGTTTCTGAGATACCTTAAATATTATAAAAATGTCCAAGGCTTACCAACAAAATAAAGGCAAGCTCTTATGTTCAAATGCATTGCTGTTCTGCTTCTGGAGCAGTTTTAGGAGTTAAATTAAAAATTTCACATATATTTAAAAAAACCTGGTAACTTGATCCATACATACCACAGAGCCCCTTGCTTTTGTAGTAGCGCATAGTTTCTAGGCTCTTCGAGGTGAAAGATGAGTGGGAGTCATCCATTCTTCTCCACTGGGTTTTTTATAGTTCTATTCTCAATGTCCCCAGTCCTTGCAGTGTGAAGGTCTGGGACAGAACCAGTGCCAGCTGTTTCCTTGTGCTTTCTAAAGAGCACCCTCTCTGGTCACCTTCCACAGAGAAGATGTGCCGTCAGCCTTGAGTAGAATCTTGCTTATCTCTCTCCCCCCTCCCCTAGTCAACTGTGGGCTACTTTTGAAAAAATAGACTTTCAAATACTTCCATGGAACTTCCACAGTTATTTGGGTGTATTTTGCAGCAAATATGCCCTATGTATCTCACCCCAATGAGATTCTGGCCACACCTCACTGTGTCCCTGGTATTCTGGTAACTCTCCTTGATTCTGCTCAGATCTGAGGAGCTCTGCACTGGCAACCTTTGTCTATGACTGAAAAAGATGGCACAACTGTGACGCTTTGATTCATAGATTCACCTAGGGGGAACAATTTCACTTTTTTGTTTTCTTTTTTTTTTTTTTTCATTTTTTAAAAAAATCATCCCATTTTAGATAGAGTTGAGGAGCAGGGCATGTGCTAAAACTCTGCTAGAGCAGGACACATATAGGCCATGGGTCACCTTTGCAGGTGACTTGGTTCTTGCGATGATGGGTGAGATGGAAAACACTGTGCCTGCTGGGTCTTTGGGTTCTGGGACTCTCTGCATCCTTGCATGCCTGCTCATGGTTTGAATTTTCAGTGTGTCATAAGTGTGGAATTCCTAATTCCCATTTAGCTTTAAATTTTTAAAAATTGGTACTTCTTATTTCTTCTTTTTGGCTGGTACTGATGATAAAATCCATCTGGGTTACTAGTTAAATTACTGCTTCCAGACTACTCCTCTGACAATTTTGACTCCATATTTCTGGAGTGAGTGTGGGGGTCCATATTTTAAACCAAAATACCAGGCAGTTCTTATGATGTTTAGGAAATACTGCCTTAGATATTGTATTTTAAAAAGTTCCAGGCTTAACAATACAAAGAGAAAAGCTTCAGGCTGGTGGAGTGGCTCAAGTGGTAACAGCACCTAACTAGCAAGTGTGAGGTCCTGAGTTCAAAGACAACAAAACAAAAACAAAAACACCCCAAAACAAACAAACAAACAAAAAACAAAGAGAAAAGCTTCTATGTTCAAGTGCATTGCTTTTTGTTTCTGGAGCAGTTTTAGGTGTCCAACTAATATTTTTACTTTGTACAAAATAATGATTTGATCCAGCACACCATTAAAAAATTAAACACCATCAATCATCAACCATTTTATATGCTTCATTAGAGTCTTCTGATGTCAGCAGTGGCTCAGACAAAATTTAATGCCATTAACATCTTTAAAGTGCTGTGAACTCAGACCAGATGCTCTTTTAGGGCAAATCCAAGTATCTTCAGCTGGTTCATTTGCTGGGAGTAACTACAAAGCCCTGGTCCCCTGGGACCAGGGAGTAGAAAGCTACATTTTCTAGAGGCCGGGTGCTCTGTGGACAATAGAAACGCCCAGCTAGAGTTACAGTTGCTCCACCAGATTGACCATTTTCACTGAGCCAGGTTGGCAAAACCCCAGGTTCTTTGCTTTTTTTTTTTTTGATGCCTCTGGTAACTTTGAAAGCCTGTGTCCTAAGATTACTGTAAAGATACTTGTCAGTTTTTGAAACTTATTGTAAAAAAAATGTTCTTGTATTCCTCCCAACTTTTTCCTTCATTGGATTTGGAGGAGAGAGATTTAGAAATGATTTTGATCTTGGGCAACTGAAAACTTAGGGCCTGACACATAGTAAATGTTTGATGCATTTTTGTTGACTTGGATACCTTCACCCATTGTTACTGGGCCAACTTTGAAGGGGTATGATGGTGAGATGTGTGCTCTGTGCTCCCTTGACTGTTGGGTGTGCTGTGACATTGCCAGAGATGGCCTGAGAGCCTCTACTTACCTTTTTGAAATGTCTTATTCCTCTAGACAAACACTATCACTATCACCTCTCAAGAAGTAAAACCTTCAGAACTACTTCATGGCTTCTTGCCTGGCATTATGGCTCCAGAAGAAATCAAAGAACATTCAGATAATTGTTCCTAAATGCATTTGTGTTCTGATAGTTTGGTCATTATTCTTTTATAAAGACTTGCAATTGGGCTGTTTTGGCAGAGGGAAGCCTGGACTTTTACATAAGTAGAATGTCAAGGAGGAGAAGATGCAGAATGCAAGTTGTCTGCATTTACCTCTTCTAACATTGAAGTTGAGAGGTCAAGATGCCACAAAGATGATTTGGCTTTGGCTTTCCTCAACCATTATTGTAAGATAAATTTCCTGTGTTCAATCTTACGTTCATTCATTCCAACAAACATTGACTGCCTACCAAGTCCTAGCTCTGGGATACAAAGGTGAATGAGATGGATAGAATCTCTTCCCTATGGTAACCTCTTGTCTGCTGTTAACTTACATCATCACATATTTCTTTTGGTTGTAATTAAAAGATTACAACATTGCAGAAATAGATAATAGCCAACATTTCTAGAGCACTCAGTGGGGTGGCAGCTAGCATCTGACCTGCTCATTTGATCTTAACATCTCAGCTCTAATGAGTTTCAAGGACAAGTGCGGCTTATTGATAGAACAGGGGCTGGCTCAGTTGGTGGGCTGGTGACAAGAGAGGTGGTATGGTTTAGTGGATCAGTCATTAATCTGACACCACAGAAACTCAGCTTGTAATGGAAAGTAGCAGAAAATCATTTTGATTAAACAGGTTCAAGGAGACTTAAATGAGTCTGTGATCCTAACTCTCTTTAATGAACCCACTCTCTTAAATCCCTGTACCAGATGACCACTGATGGAAATAATTATTTCACAGGGATCATTACAAAAGGACTGTTTAAAAGTTGACAGGTCTAAGAGCATTCTTGTCCTCTCTGTCCTTCCGTTTAGTTTGCTCTTGCCAGGGAAAAGCTAGGTCTTGCTTGGCAGGTGTGGTAGAGCCTCTTGCCCTTGTTTAGCTTCCCAGGCTGAGTTCCTGGGTCTTCCTAGCCCTGCCCGGCAAGACTTAGCTGGACTGCATTGCTGGGAGGCTAAGTAGTCTCCTGCATGCTGATGAGGCTATGTTCAAGGCCAAGAAGTGGCTCCAAGTGGATAATTGGGCCCTATAATAGTTCCCTAGAGGAATGGGACCTAATCATTAGCTTGACTGTTTTATCTTGCTTGAGGAGACAAAGTGATGTTAGTAATAAAATATTTTATAATAAATCATTCACTTATTTAAGCAATAGAATGCATTTCAAACCAAACTAATACCTCAACTCTGACACTTAGAACTTACTTTACCTTTCCTATGGTGAGGTGACTGCAGACTACACATTCCATTGGGATTTCCCAATCCCTCAGATCCAAACTCATACTTAGTCTGATCTCTTCAGGTGAGATAATTACATACAAGAAATTTCCTGTAAGAGATTAGATCACTTGTCCAAGGTAACAAGCATTTTTAAGTATATTTTGTTTAGTATAAGACACCATCAATTATAAGATGCACCATTTTTATGTATTACCCTGACAGTACTAAGATGGAGAGTTTAGTACTACAGATCCCTACAGAAAGCTAGGACTGCAGAGGGGGCTGTGCCCTCAGTGTGAGGGCAAATGAGAAATCAGCCCACTGAGAGGGAAAGCGACCATAGCCAGGCAACATTTGTGTTGGTGGATGGAGAGAAAATGTAAGACGTGCTTTGAACCATTCAATGGGTTGGCCCCGTCACAGGCGTCTGGCCCAAATGCACACTGCCTTGTAGCTCCCCTGACCAACTAAACCTTGCAAAGTTAATTTAGACTCAGTTGGCTTATCCTCTCTGAGCCTTTGACTCCTTATTTGTTTAGTGGGGATAGTAGTATTCTATTGATGAGGACTCTAAATT